TTTTTTTTTAATTTGCTAAAGACCTTTTCCTACAAGTTTACTACTATGTTAACCTCAAATTTGGCATCTATATACATTTAAAAACTTTTTTTTTTGCCAGGAAGAAATGATCTCTTGATTACAATTATAGTTATTTGATGAAATTTTTTGAAAGGATATCTATTGATGATAGTGTTCAAAGTCTGATATTTAATTATGTCTAAAAAATTTCATACCTAACCAATTCCAAAATATAGCATATATGGTTACAGGTAAAGTAAGTGGAATTAACAAACAATAATATTCATCTTTTTTAATCAAATCCAATGTCTATCATTATCATCATAATATTAGTTTTTAATATTATTACAAGAGAAACACAAATATATTTATAATAAAGTTTACCTTATTTCCGGTTTCTGGTATGAGCTTGCTAAAAACAATGGCATACATACTAAACACAAATATAACAAATGTGAGAATTAATAAGATCCATCCCCAAATAGCAGTTGTATCAGGCTCTTGTTGTGATAAATGTCTTGTTGATTTACGTGTATAAGTTGGCGTGTTTGGTCTTTCTATCAATAACGAAGGTTGTGATTGTAAAGAAGAAGATCGTTGTAATGGAATTGGTGATAATCGTTGATTTTGTATAGAAATTGGTGATGATGTTATAATATCATTGTTCTCAACATTATCGTTATTATTATTAGAAGAGGAAGATGAAGAGGGTAAAGTAGGTGAGGAAGGTGTGAAGGAAGAAATGGGAGATGTAGAATTGTACATTTGATTAAAATTAAAAAATACAAGTACTCCTTTTTTCGTGTCACTCAATAAAAAAACCAACAAGTCGGAATTCATTAATTTCAGGTCCAAAGTCTTCTTTTGTTACCCTGGTTAAAAATCCAAGGTAACTACAATATTAACATATATTTATTCTCCTTCCTTTTGGATGGCCTTGTAGTGCAGCTAATTACAGAACTAGTAAGGCATGAGTCCAGGCACTAGTACCTAGGATGACCTAATCAGAAAATCGGTTGACCCAAACAGGTTGACATAACCTGATTTATATCATGGTAAAAAATTTTAATAATTATGATAATAAGGTATATATGATGATTGTGACAGAAGGAAAGGAAAGAAAATTAGCAACATTGATTAACTCAAATTAAAAAAAATATATGGATATTTAAAGAGTGCAAAGTCAAACAACAAGGCAGAAAAGGCAAACAACACAAAAAATTGATTTTTTAAGCAGAGTAATGAACATTGATTGTTGCTTTACTAAATTCACAAAGATCAATGGCAACTTTTTTTCCTTTGGATATGGATTTTTAATAACATTAAGCAAAGCTAAACCGCCTAAAATCATTTAGACTGTAAATGTGATAAAGCAGCTATTAAAATATTTACCAAACCTCGGAACCTGTAAAAAGTACTATATCAAAAGTTTGTCATTAGCTGCCAACATTTAGGATTAATAAAGCATACGCCAGCCGAGTATGTCATTTTTTTCATTTATTTGGTTTAATGGTAGAAATACCGATCCTATTCCGTTGTTTTTTGGTATGTTCTTTATGTGAACACGCCCCTTCTAAACCACAACGTATCTATGCTCTCAAAGTATGTAAAAGCATTTGTTCAACCTTGTGGAATAGAGATGTCAATGCAGCAAGGAACATACGTAACAGACATCTTTATCTGTATGTACAACAATAATGGTCAACATCCAGATCATTTCATATGTGTATTCTACTGAAATTAAAACAACAACGACAAAATAATTTTTAATTTTTTTAATTTTTTTAAATATAATTCTACCCGAGACTGGAGTGGGAGATTCGTTGTTGTTAGTGGTAGTTTTGAGTAGACAGCGCATGATGGTTAATAACAAGCCTCTATGAAGCTCAGTACATCACCCCAGTAACGCATATATGTTACACATATAGTCCACGAAAGTGGATATCAGTTTTGAGAAGCGTTAACAACCTATTATACAAATAAATATAAATATGTATAATAAAATATGTGACAATTTTAAATTCTGACATGAAATGTAAAAAAAAAAAATAAAAAAAAATATATAAATATATAAATATAAACAAAAATAAGAATTGATTGTCCATTTTCTATTCAATCTTTTAATTCTAGCAATAAACTTTAATAATTGTTATTTTTATTATTTTTTTGCTCTTCAACCCAACTCATGACTAGTTTTTCATGACCTTCACGTTCTTCTTTCAATTTTTCCTAATAATGTTATTAAAACGTGTTAACATTAATATGATGAAAATCAAAAATTCTGCATGTTTCATTATTTACATTTAATCTATTGATATTATCACGTAAATCTGTTTTTTCTTTTTCACTACTTGATATATGAGCTTCTGCCTTGGCTAATTTTTCTTTGACACTTTCTATGGCATTACTTAATCTTAAACATTTACTATCAGAATATTCTAACTTCAAAATAAATAAATAAAATATGCAGAAATTAATATACAATAAACATTAATTTATAAGCTAATTAGATTTAAATAATAAAATACCTTCTCAGTTAATTGTTGTATTTTCTGCTCATATTGTTTATTGTTCATCAATAATTCATCTTGATTAGTATCTTGACTGTCATTATCAGTTTCAGCAACACTCTGTAATATTCATATATTAAAAAGATAAAAAAAAATCCCCAATAAATATATCAAAGAAGATGAAGATGATAGTGTAGATGGAAGTAATTATCTAATAATTACCTCTATATTGGTGCTTGTATCATTAGATTTATCTTTAATATCTAAATTTTTCTTAGTTTCAATTTGTAAATTTTTAATTTCTTTCTCAGATATCTCCTAATCACCAAATAATAATTAGAATATTATTCAAATATATTGTATAAATGCACATATGTATGAATAAATGTATTTATATATTTTCTTCACCTTTTGAATTTTCAATTCTTCCTTTAAAGATTTGATTGTTTCATTTAAATCAATCTCTTTTTCGTTTGCCTTTTGTTTTTCCAATTCCAAAGATGTGATTTTTTCATTTAAACCAATTTCTTTGTCTTTTTCCTTTGCCTTTTGTTTTTCC